ACGCTTATTGTATTTCTCATAAAACTCAGCATAAAACTATACACCTATAGTTATCTAAAAAGAGTTCCTAAAAATAAATATATACATTATTAGTATGTGACATGGGTGAGTTACTTTTGTAAAACTACAAAATTATTCAATATATTTTAACATATGATTTAGTGAGTATCAATATGGTATCCATTTCTTGATTCTGTTTTTTCATAGTGCTCTTAAATATATATGCTAATACTTTTGAATAAGTGATTTATGCTATGAAATGTTTTAATGAGAAAAATGAATCTATATAAAGCAACTTCATTTATATTTTGTTCCTGTCATGTTACATTGCTGAAATTTTGTATTATAGTAGACATGACTCATTTTAAAATATGTAATTGTATATGAAGTTCTCAATGTCAATGTCTGGAGGATGCAGAATTAAAATAGAAGAAAAGTTAAAAAAATTAAATGCAAACTATATTTTGCATATGAATAAGAATATTGCAAATACCATACTTATATAATATGTTTATAAATCTTTACACTATGCCAAAAGGTATATATGGCAGATATAGAATATCTCTGCATAGATATAAAATCAAGATACATAATATTTTTAAATGTTTTCCACTGAAGTGTAATTGACATAAACTGAACGTATCCAGTGTATATTATTTTTAAAGTTTTGGCATATTGGTACACGAGAAAACACCATGGCAGTCAAGATAATGAACGTATTCATTTCCCCAATGTTACTTTGTGTTTTTAGTAATCGCTTCTTCCCCTCTTCCCTACTCAATCTCCATGCAACTACTAATCTATTTCTGAGACTACAGAATGGTTTACACTTGGTAGAATTTTATGTAAATGGAGTCACTCAAAATCTACTCTTTTTTGTCTGTCTTTTGCACTCAACATAACTACTCTGACTTTCGCCTGTGTTGATACTGGTAACAATAGTTCATTCTTTTTTAAGTTATTAGATTTTATTTTTAGAACAATTTTAGGTTTACAGAAAAAACTAACAAAGCACAGAGAATTTCCATACACTTTTTTCTACCCTCCATATTCTTTATGATTAATATCTTGCATTAGTGTGGTACATTTGTTATAATTAATACATCAATATTGACGTATTATTACAAATGAAAATCCATATATTAGGCTTATATTAGGGTTCACTCTTGGCATTATACATTTCATGGGTTTGGACAAATGCATATGTCATGTATCCACTACTATGGTATTATAAGAATAGTTTTACTTTCTTAAAAGTTTTTGTGCTTGATTTATTCATCCCTTTCCTTGGAGACTACTGGAAACTCTGATCATTTGGCAGTTTTCCCCTTTTTAAGAATGTTATATCATTGGAATTATACAGTATACAGCCTCTTCTGATTAGCTTCTTTCACTAAGTTATATGCATTCTAGGTTCTTGCATGTTTTCTATGACTTGATAGATTATTCTTTTATCACTAACTATTCCATTTTATAGATATGCCTGTTTATTGAACCATCATTCACCTGTTGGGGACAGCTTGGTAGCTACCAAGTTTTGTTATGAGAAAAGTTGTTTTAAGAAGTCATGTGACATTTTTGTGTAGAAATATTTTTGACTCATTTGGATAGGCGTGAAGTTACTAGTCCATGTGGTAAGACTACATTTAACTTTGTAAGAAATGCAAAGCTATCTTCTAACGTGACTGTGCCATTTTGCATTCCCACAAGCAATAAATGAGTTTCCTTTGCTCTTTATCCTCAACACAATTTAGTGTTGTCAGCGTTTTGGATTTTAGCCATTTTAGTAGGCATGTGGTAGTATCTCATTCTAATGAGCAATTCTCTAATAATATATGATGTTGAGCATATTTCATTTGCTTATTTGCCATCAATATGTTTTCCTTGGTAAAATGTCTGTTCAGATCTCCTGCCCAACTTTTAGCTGGATTATTTATCCTTTTTTTCCTTTTTGAGTTTTTAGAGTTCTGTGTATTGCTCATACCGGTTCTTTATTGGATACATGTTTTGTAAATACTGTCTCCCAGTCTTGGCTTGTTTTTTAAATATTAATTATGTCTTTCTTAGAGCAGAAGTATTAACTTTTATAAAATTCAGTTTATAACATTCTTCTATAGTCTCGCATTTGTATATTTAAATCTATTATCCATTCTTGTATATTGTGTAAACACAGTGTCCAGATTCTTTTCTTGGATGTGGATGTCCAATTGTTCTAGCACTATTTGTTAAAAATACGATTTTCTGTGTGTGTGTGAAGTTACTTCTCATGTTATGAGCATACCGTGTTGGATTTATTCATTCACCCACTGATAAACTTTGGGTTGTTTAGAGTTTAGTGTTATTATAAATAAGTGTGCCATGGACACTTGTAAACACATTCTTGTATGTATATATGCTATAATGTTTTCTGCTTAAAGAGCAACAATAGAATAAATAGGTAAAATGGTGGGTGTCTATTTAACTTTGTAAGAAGCAGTCCATTTTTTTCCCCAGAGTGGCTGTATCATTTACCTTCCTACCATCAGTATTTGAGAGTTACAGTTTTTCTAAATCATCACCAACACACAAGATGATTAGTATTTTTAATTGTATTTATTCTAGCAGGTGTGGAATGGCATCTCATTTAATTCGTATTTGTACAATGGCTAAAGATATTGAACATCTTTCGATGTGATTATTTGCTGTCTCTGAATTTCCTCTGGCAAAATGTGTGTTCAAATATGTTCTTTTCCTTATTGTTTATTATTGGTCTGTAATTTGCCTTATAATTGAGCTTACATATTTTGGATACACATCCTTTATCAGACATAATTTGGAAATGTCTATTCCTAGTTTGAGTCATATCAATTCAAAAATCTAGAAATATAGAATTTTTTGTTTTTATGAAGTCATATTTATTGTTGTTGTAATCGGTTTTTTTTGCATGTTCTCTAGGTTGTTCTTTGGGCCACATCTAAGAAACCTTTGTCTAGCCAAAAGCCACAAATAATTTCTCGTTTTTGGCTTCTGGAAGATGTACAGTTAAATCTTATATTTAGAATTGTTATCTAATTTGATTAAATTGCTCTCTATGATATGATATTTGAATTGATGAAAAATTAGTGAATATTAATATTTTTTAAAGTGGTCAAATCTTGCAATTTATATCTAATAGAGAAGACTAGAAAATCCCCCATATTTATTTCCTCTTACTTCATACTACTAAAATTTGTATTTAGGCATTTGGTTTCTCAGATAAACATTACATTCCCCAGTATATGGTTCTATGTGGCTTTGTGACAACATGATGAACATTAAGATGTGAGTAGAAGTAATACATACACATTATTTTCAATGTCTTTAATTGAATGGGATATTGGCCCATTTTTTCTTCCAGTTTATTACACTGAATGTTGACATGTTATTTTTCAATATTGAGATAACTAGACAATGACAAGACTTTAAGAGTAACAATGTAAAAATTATACAAGTTGTCAGGTTTATCAACAATCCACTGGATTAGAGCCCCCTACCAGTCCTAGGCCATCTAATATATAGACATTGTGTTCAGTAGAAATAAATATATATTTTTTTATTGAACTTTAAGTTCTAGGGTACGTGTGCACAATGTGCAGGTTTGTTACATATGTACACATGTGCCATGTTGGTGTGCTGCACCCATCAACTCATAATCATTTACATTAGGTATTTCTCCTAATGCTATCCCTCCCCCAGCTCCCCACCCCCTGACATGCCCTGGGGTGTGATGTTCCCCGCCCTGTGTCCAAGTGTTCTCTTGTTCAATTCCCACCTATGGGAATAAATTTGTAAATCATTTTTAAAAGGTTTTATTACATTCTGATTGAACATTCTCAGAAAGAATAATAATTTAATACAAGAAGTGGGACACTTCATGTGACAAAACAAACAAACCACCACTACAAACAGCAACAAAAACTACTAATGAATGTGGCTTTAGCTTTGCAACAGCATGACAGACTAGCAAGTTAATGACATTTGTTATGCCATAGAAAATACTTGTTGAATTGACACTCTAATGACTTTATATCAACCAATTCATTATCAACAATAAAAAGATGATTAAAAAATACTTCAGTATGTTCACTTGTTGGCTTGTTAACATTTTCAAGAGTCTATAAGAGAAAAATGCATCCAATGTTGACAAAAATGTTTTTCAAGTATGTTGTATGTACCTATGACTAACGACTTTGTGAACAAAAGTCACTATATAATTATACAATTTCTGACACTTAAAAAAGCTTTTAATGCAAAAGATTATATGTGTTCTAATACTAAATCCACATATAAAATAATTGACTTCTTTAAATAATTTAAGATGCTCTTTTATATATTTATATTAAAAACATTACAGAGAATAAAAAAGGCATTATATAGGCTACTTATGGTTTTTGATGTTTGGATCTACAATATATGTATTAAAGATTGTGGAAATAAATCAAACAATATATTCAATTGGACTTAATTTCATTATTACATGCCAAGTGTTGTATACCATGTGTTTGCACATAACACCTTTTAATTATATAAAATTATTATCATAAAGTTATATTAATTTATTTTATTTCATGTTATTATTTATGTATTGTTAGGAACATTTGCTTAAAAATCATATTTGGACATAGTAAGTATCAGATACTTTACATCTTTTGAAGCAGTTATTTTATAACTGTGTATACTAAACATCATTACTCCTTTTCAAACTTAAATAATGCAATACAAATTGGACAAAAAATTCAGGGAAGATCTGGGATCAAAAAGGAGGTATTGAAACATCACATGTACTCCATAATTATATACAAATATTTTGTACCCATAATATTGAAAATACAAAAAATTAAATGGTACAGTTTCCTCAAAGTGCGTGCTTCTTTTGCTGTGCAAAACTGCAGGATATGGAAAGAAGTGTTTCAAGCCACTGAGTCATTTTATGTGGGGGATAAAAGGGATGGTACCAAACGTACCACTTCATGTATTGCACTGATACATCCAATATGAACAATGTATTAACTTCAAGATAACACGAGAAAGTTAAATTATCTAACTTATTTCAAACTAGGAGATAGCATGTTCTTATCATTATAAGTCAGAATTCTGCTTATCCATTTCTATTATTAGAAAAAAACATAATTTTTATTCTTGTCTTAAAAATAGACACCTTGATATGATTCTCGGTAAATGCAGAATGATAATCTGTTAATAGAGTTTACATCATTCCAAGACTGCATTTCTAAAGTGAGAAAATATTAAAGGATATAAACTCACCTCT